GATGTACCGTGCTCTGCGGGAAGTCTTTTGGTGGAATGGCATGGAAAGGAATATAGCGGATTTTGTGGCTAAGTGCCCCAATTGTCAGCAAGTCAACGTAGAACATCAAAAACCATGAGGTATGACTCAAGTGATTGACTTTCCTCCTTGGAAGTGGGAAGTGATCAACATGTCACAGGTTTACGTCATACTCACAGACAGGATGACTCTATATGGATGATTGTTGATAGAGTTACTAAGTCTGTGTGCTTTTTGACTGTTAAGACTATAAACTCGGTGGAGGACTACGCCAAGATTTACATTATTGATATAGTTAGGTTGGATGGGGTTCCTTTTTCTATCATCTCAGATAGAGGTCTTTAGTTTACCTCTCATTTCTGGAAGTCATTTTAGAAGGGGCTTGGTACTTAGGTAAACCTTACCCCAACATTTCATCCATAGACGGATGGTCAGGTAGAGCGTTCCATTCAGACCATAGAGAAAATGCTGAGAGCTTTTGTGATTGACTTCAAGGGTAGTTGGGATGATCACCTTCCTCTTATAGAGTTCGCCTACAATAATAGTTACCATTCCAGCATTCAGATGGCCCCTTAATGAGGCCTTGTATGGGAGTAGATATAGATCTCCAGTTGGTTGGTTTGAAGTAGGTGAAGCAGCCATGATAGGGCCAGATTCAGTTCATGATGTTATGGAGAAAAGTGCAATTCATTAGAGATAGACTTAAGACAGCCCAAAGTCGCCAGAAGTCCTGTGCAGATGAAAGGAGAAGGGAACTAGAGTTCCAAGTTAATGATTGGGGTTTTTTGAAATTGTCGCCTATGAAAGGGGTGATGAGATTTGGCAAGAAAGGGAAGCCCATCCCTAGTTATTTAGGCCCTTACAAGATCTTGAAAAGGGTTGGTAAAGTGGCTTATGAGTTAGAGTTTCTAGAAGAACTAGCAGCAATGCATCCAGTTTTCCATATTTCGTTGTTGAAGAAGTTTGTGGGTGACCTAGCATCTATAGTACATTTAAAAAGTGTGGCGGTGAATGATAGTCTCACTTATGAAGATGTACCCATTGAGATTCTTGATCATCACGTTCGAAGATTGAGAAACAAAGAAGTCGCTTCAGTCAAGGTTTTGCGGAGGAGTCAGTCAGTAGAGGGAGCTACTTGGAAAGCCGAAGCAGCCATGAAGGCTAAGTATCCTCACCTCTATCCTTCCGATTCCATTATAGTTGGAGGTAATAGTTCCTCTTCAGTTTTTCAGTCATTCACGCGTAAATTCAATCCTAGTATCATGTTGCTTAAGTTTGTAGTTGCATGTTCAGCGTATTTGGATGATTCTTGGAACTTAGATTAGTAAGAAATCAAATTCCAGAAACTTAGTTGTACGGTGCACCTCTTTCCCTCCATTTCAGCTAGTTTAGTCTTCATTCGAGGATGAATGATCCCAAGGGGGAGATATTGTAACACCTCGAAAACCAAACCTTGAAACAAATTGCAGAAACTTGCCTGAACCAGTGAACCATGGCAGGGTTCATGGACCCTGATAGTGTCCACAATCCGGTGACCTGCCTGCGGTGGTGAGTTAGGGTCCACCAAGACCAAACGTCAGACCCCGGGACCCTTCACGGGCCATGGTCTTGACGTAGGACTGTGGTGGCATCTATAGTGTCTGAACCAGTAGACCCGCCAAGCCTAGACCTGAGACCCCCCATGCCAAAGTGAGGGCCACGAGGACCTTCACGGTCTGTGGTCCTCCACACGGGCCGTGGAAAGGGCTCGTGAACGTGATATACCAGACCTCAGCCCAAGTGAGGACCACGAGGACCTTTACAGTCCGTGGAACGCTCATGGACAAGACCCCCAGAAATCAGTAGCCACTGACCAAGGACCACGACCGGTCCCACGGTCTTGGTCCTTTCAGGCTTCGTGAAAGTGGTCGTGGTCAACCCCGCCAGATTTTTAAATAGGGTTATTTTGGTCTTTCCCCTACTCGTTGGGCACCTAAACTACATGGTTTAACCCCTAAACTACGTGGTTTTTGTCAGTTTTAGCCTAGAAACATAACTAGAACTTACCTAAGTCAGATATTTCATCAAAAGTGAGAAAACAATTAGAGCGTAAGAGGAAAAAGAGGTCGAGTAACCCAAGTTCAAGAACGCAACAAGGTTTCATCAGTTTCAGGCCCAAAATCGAGAGATTTCTCCGTGGAGTTTGTACCATTTATGTGGGATTTCCCTAGTGGGTTCCTTTCACCCATTAGTTCCCTAGATTTCAGTCTGAATCTTGATACCCTTAATATTATCTAGACTTAGGGTTTCTTAAATGTTAGAATTGTTGGGGATTTAGCTGTTAGAATGATCCAAATCATATTATCATATTATAGTATTGTTTTTGCCCATATTCATGCATAAAATCAGAACCCTAGCTATGTAGTTCTTTTAGTTCATGAATTACACATGCTAGGTCAGTAAATTCAATTAAACATCAATATGCCTCAGTATTCAAATGTATTATTATCAGTGTATAAAATGTTGCATTCTCAGTTTGCATCTCAGTAATTTGAGCTATTTAGTAGTTTAGCATATCAGTCATAGAGTGTAAATTTACTTAATCATATGGGAAGCTTAATACCGAGTGGACTAGGGTCAGTCACCCTTAAGTCCCAGAACTACATGCTCTATTAGTTTAGTCAACATATTTCCGAGACAAGTAAATGAGGGGGGTTGTGTAACAAATAACTAATTGTTGTTTAGAGATCAACGGAGGAAGATTCGAACTTTAGTTGTTATCAATGAGAGATAGTAACTAGGGTGTATGTGATCCCCATAAGCTCATAACGCGGTACTCCTAGTAATAGTAATCCTTTCCTAGTGTATTACATGCAAAGTGATAAGTTAGGTATCTCTAATTCGTTGGTCCGGCAACTAGAGAATTTTACCCCGCACCTTGGTCCGGCTACGTTTATATAATTTACTAACCCTGACCGGTACCTCATATTAGACATCACATCGATGTATGTCTTGGTTTTCACCCTCGCACCAACCACCATTAGATTATTAGATAGTATCACACTAAATCTATGTTGATAATTCTTTTCTTATTAACTACCTCCTTGGTCTGGAAAGTAGCAACAAGGGGAGTTCTAACGTTTGCAACCGCTAAAAAGACTTCTAAACGAAAGAATTATCAATGCATGCAATAACAGTATTCAAGAATTACTTAGTTACTATTCATACTTTGTTAATCTCTCATAGTTCGACAACCCTAGTTGTGGATTTAGTTACCCATAGTAGTAAGAACACATTTCACATTTTTAGATGAATAAATCATGAACTTACGTAATGAGAAGAAGAAACCCAGAAACTCAACTTGAATTTCAAAATCAAAATCTTCAAAACGAACTTAGGAAATCAAGAATTGCTAAAATTGCAAGTTAATCTCCAAAGCCAAAAACTAGAATAAAAGTAATGAAGTCTAACGCCAAAAAACGAGATTTACATGCCCTGTATATAGAAAAAAAAGTCATAACCAAAAAGGAAACGAAATAAGGAAATAAAGTTTCTGGAGGCAGTTGTCATTGACGAGTCTGACCTACGGACCGTGGACTGACCTACGGTCCGTAGGTCCCTTCCGTGATCTGGGACTTAGGTTATTTTCCTACCTTCAAAATCATCAACTCTCAGAAGCATTTAACGGCTCAGTAGGATGGACCGTGACTCGATCCACGATCCGTCAATCGCGCTCCGTGATCTCACACTTAATTTCTTCAAATAAGGTATTGGAACACATCCTCTGAATCATTTGACGAACCTACATTACGGCCCGTAGACCATACTACAGTTCGTCAATCCTAGTCGTGGTTCCACACTTAGACAAGAATTCCTTGATTTCCTCTCCAAGCTTTGCCCATTAGGTACGCCCTTCACCAACAGACCATGAATGGACCTACGGTCCGTATATCACATCCGTAGGTGGCTTTTTCTGCATCATTCCTTCAACTGTCTCTTAACTCCCCCGTCTAAACTTATTTCTTGCAAACTCTAAAAACACATCAATACCACTACAAAATGGCCCTAGACACACACAATTATTAAGTGTAATGTATTAAAAATACCTTAAACTCACGGTATATCAACACCCTCAACATAAATTCGTTGTTTGTCCTCAAGCGACACACTAAGACTTTAAACGACACTTGTATAGAAGTAAGAATTCAAGCAAAAGCAATCACATGGCTCTCTATCCCGACTCTCTCTTTGAGTGCAAATATTTTCTCTTAGACTCAACAAGCTAACTCATGCGGATCAAAATATGACAAAGATCGACCAATTAACACACAACATACATTATTTTGCTATCACCAAGGTACCAACTTTCCGACAATGTAACTAGTGCCCTTACTTCAAACAAAATCCCTTTTTCACACAATGAATATAATTTTGAGTACAAGGATTCATTCAACACTCCCGCTCATAAGTAATTTCAAGTACAGTTAGTTAGTCGGACCCTACATTTGGGAAAATGTAACAACATGTATTACTCATATGATAGTTCTATTCATGCGATACTTGACAAAAGATAGCCTTATAGTATAGGTGAGTGACCGTACTTCTTATATGATTAGTGTTGGTTTAAACTAGCCCGGAAGGAGATGTAACACCTTGCACATTTTAGCATGTGTACTGCAAGTTAACTCCGATAGAAGTATTTAAACTAGAGGTAGTAAGGTGGTAATTGGGCCAAATGCACTACCACCTACTTGCATTAATTTGGCCCAAGTTGAGTAGAAGGATAAGGGGAAAAAATGGACAGCCAAGGCCCAATAGTCTTAAGCCCTAAAAGGCCCAAGTGAAAAGTCCAAATAGGTGGACCACCTACTTGCATTAAGTATGGCCCAAATTGACAAGAATAGAGGGATAATTCGGAGTAGGGCCCAACAAGTGTTGAAATTCCCAAAAGCCCAAGTTATAAGGCCAAGTAGGTGGGACCAAGAGGTGGGTCACCTACTTGACAATACATGGCCAAAATTAGTCAAGAAATTCGGCCATTACACCTCCTTTTTAAAGGGATAAAGATCAGATCTTTTGCTTCATTTTTACCTTGCAAAATTTTCAGATTTCTTAAGTTCTCTCTTGGTCTCTCTTGGCTTCAATTAGCAGCCCTAGAACACCTTGGGTTCTTGAGTATTGCCCCCTTTCCAAGTAAAAGTTTGAAGGAGAGTTTCAGTTCTTGAAGTACAAGTTTAGAGGATAAATTCCCAAACACTAAGGTAAGGCTACTGCCCATTTTTGCTTCTCTTTAAATTCAGATTTGGGGTGGAGAATTGTGCTTGTATTTATCAAGAACTAATGGATGGTGACAAATCCTTGAGTCAATATTCTCCTTTTATGCTGAAAAATTCTTAGGGATTGATAGTGGCTGCCTTATGTATATTGTTGTTGGGGGCTGTTTGGGTATCTTGGCAAAGGATGTATGAAGTTGTATTAATGTGTAGAAGGAAGGGGTGGTGGTTCACCATTGTGCAAGGGTTGTATGGGCCTACTTTCCGTCGAGTGTTTAGCTACTGTTTTATAGGGCCTTAAAGTGATTAGATGCTAACGTCAGCTTAATCATGATTTATATTGTAGATTAGCACCCAAGAAGGGAGGCTGAATCGTGACAATTGGATTGGTCCGAAAATAAGGTATGTAGGGCTATTCGATATTCCTTGGCATGAAATCAGATCCTTACGATGGATATCAACAAGTGTATTTCCTAAGTTCTATTCCTAGTATAGGAAACATAGTGGCAACATACGATATCCAAATAGCTAACCCCCCTAAGTGTATAGAATTACGTAATTTTACATTCGGTACTCTATAGTCAATTGGAGTCATTTGTGTGATTTAAGCTCTCAAGTAATGTATTAACGTTCCATAGCTCCTTATATTGTAGCTACTGCCCTAAAGTATTATTTTCATGTCTTCTACTACTGTTCCGTATTTCCAAATCTCAAAAATGATTATGACCACCAAAACAACAATCTCAAAGATTACAGAATCTAAGTGAAGCAATTTGTATAAGCATGGGTGGCAGCTCAGGGGCGAAAGCCTAGCATGGGCCGATCCCGATTTGTGTAATTTTGAGGACCGCATCCCAGGGGTTAAAAGGCCTAGCATGGGTCATCCTCTTCTACCACTGATCAGCTGGTCATTAGTATCACATGCCTTATAAAGATCATAACACACATAAAGGTAAGGGCAAGAATGTAACATACATGATCCCATAAGAGTTAATAGAGGTGGTCTTTGGTTCTGATTTATGCACTTATACATCGATACTTGGTTTCATTTGAACTCTTGTTTTATATGTGTTGTGGCCTTACATATTCAGTACATCTTTCGTACTGACGTCCCTCGCGGGGGACGCTGCATTTCATGTTGCAGGCACAGGTACTCCCGCTAGTAGACCTCCTCAATAGGAGCATACGACACTCAGCTACTTTTGGTAAGCTCCACGTTGCTTCGGAGCTTTACTGAGCCCTTGGTAGATTCATTTTGGTATTGTATCGTAGTTAAGGGTAAGGCGGGGTCTGTCCCGACCTACTCTAAGGATTTCCATCTTTTAGAGGCTTTGTAGACTTATGTATATGGTCCAGCTGCATCTTAACAAGTTGTGGTCTCAACGGCCAAGTCTTGTATATAAGTTTTGGGTCTACTTATGTCGATTAGTATCGCTGCATCCTATATTAACTTGTCACAAAAATTGTCATAGTTACATGCATAGTAAACAGGTTACATGTTGGTTCTCTCGGGCCTTTAGGGCATCGAGTGCCTGTCCGTCTTAATGGGATTTGAGGCGTGACAAAGTGGTATCAGAGCAGGTCATCCTAGGGAGTCTACAAAGCCGTGTCTATGTAGAGCCTTGCTTATGGATGTGTTGTGCACCACATTTATAAACAGGAGGCTACGGGACATGTAGGAGTTGTCTCTTTTCTTTCATTTCTTAGATCGTGCGATAGAACCAATGTTGTAGATGAATAGTACCTAACTTCTAAATTGTTTTATTATAGCGAAGATGCCGGTTACGAGAAAGAGTAAAAGTTCGGGTAAGCGAGTGGATGTGGCTGCCCAAGAAGGGACCAGCCAACCACCACCTAGTCTTGATGTTCATGGTGAGGCTCAAGATGAGTCTCTATCACAGACTTCCCCGACCCCTCCATCTCCAGAAGA